TGCCTTTAGATGATATTTCATGAAAATCAAACTTGAGAAAAATGTTCTAAGAATTTTAGAATGGTAAAAGCACATGCAAGTAATGATTGATTTTGCAGTATTTTACAATAATGTTTGTACTCTGTGACTTAAACATAGTAACAGCTATTTTTGCATTTTTTTACATTTAATTAACATGAATTGTACTTTAGTGCCATTTGCAATGTGTAAATTACTTTCTTGTTCGCTTCACAATATTTTACTTTTAAATAAGTTTTCCATGAAAAGTAGCATGAATATTAAGGCATGCGGGTGCTATAAGGAAGGATTTTTTCTATTCATCCACACATTGTTTTGTATATTAACTATTGGTGGCAATGTCATTGTCTACTGAAAAATAATGGAAATATGGCAAATTTCAGAGCAAAGGGGGAAATTCCAGAAAGTCAATTCAACACTGTTTTAACTCTTTAAGCTTTAAAGGACAAATTGCTATGTTCTTGCAATGGTCTCACGATTTTTACTCATAAATCTTACTTCAGACGCACTGGAGAGTACAAAAGTTGCAGACAATTGGAATTATGAAATATTGAAAAGTTACCGAAAGTCGTTTTGAGTTATCTATTGAAATATCACAAATCCTATTCAGATACAACGGCACCAAAGTTCTCAAGATATTCGCTTCACGTAAATTGGTTTGTATTCTGAACTAAGAAAATATTATTTACTTTCTTTTTCTCTTATATTAGTGGAATGAAAGCAAAGTCTGTGGGATGTATAGGGAATTATTTGAAGAAAAGAAAAACTTGATTTATTTGGTTCTTTGAAAGCAAAACATCCATGTCTGTGTATTAAAGTCATTATTTGAATAAGCTTCTCCCACACTGATTTGTGAAATGAACTTGTCCTACTTCTGATTGGTATATCATGTGATCAGAATATTTTAATTGGAAATCACCTTCTTTGAAATCACTTTGAAAGGACTACATGTATTCTAGATTTAAAATTTGGCAAATCCATTACAAATCCATTAAGGGTTAAGCCAGGCCCGATAGTATGTCAAAGCTCTTGCTAATATAGGTCTTGTCCATCTATCTTTAAATTACACCAGTACTGAAAATAGTCTTGAAAAGGCACTTGAAAGTGAAGAATTAAATTATAAGCTGAAAAAGTTACTTTTAAAGGCTCATTTTGCCCCAGAAATGCTATTATTTTATTTCACAGAAACGTAAAATGTTTGATTCCAAAAAATACTCATTTGCCATACAGATGAACTATCTATGCTCTTTTTGTTTTTGTTGGCATTTCATATAATTATAGTAAATAAGTATTTTGTATGGAAGTCAAAATACTACTTTGTTTACATTTTTCCACCTTTACTACACATTACTGCATGTTCAGCGCATCGTTTTATGTAACATGCACTAAATCAATTATCAAAATACTGTTTAATATATATTTGACATTTCTAAAGAATTTTTTTAAAAAAATTGAATTTTCTGAGGCATAATGTGCCTTTAATGTCAGGTTGGGGGACGTTACATGGGTTAATTCCCCTTGCAAAGTGTTCATAATCCTCCAGACAACTTTCTTGAATTTCTTGTTCATTCCTTTTTGGCTTGTATTGATAAACCTGCCTACTTCAAGGTATAGCCCAGCTTCTGTTAATCATAATTATAAGTTTATAATAAAACACTTGAATACTAAATATATATCTACATAAACTATTAGTATCACTTTTTGTATTTTCTGATCGCAAGATCAGTAAATACATAGCTAACATCCACGGTCTAACACAAAATTTCCTAACAGACCTAACAACGCAAAGTAGTTTTCACTCAAAACTGCTTAAAAACCAGCAATTTAAAAGACAGAATAATTTCTAATGTAGGCATTTAACGAATTACAGTGCATTGAAAGTTCAGATAAGTCAATAGAAATATGAGGTTACAATCACAAATTTCGCGGATGAATATCATTTTAATCAATGAAAATGCTATTTTTAACTATGTCGATTACTGAATACTCCAGGGCGTAGTACACATAAATCTGACTGCCGAATACTGGAATATATACACGTCGGACTGTTTTGCGAGAAGATTTTGGCTTAATTATTTTTATCAGTGTTAAACAGGTTTATCGTGAACAAAATACCTTGAAATTGATAAGGATTACAAACACGAAATGGAAATTCTCAATTTAGAATTACAATGTATTTGTTTTTATTCGGGCTACATATTACGTATTACTTCACCGTGGTGCAGGGATATCGCGCTCGTATCGCGCTCGTTTAGGGTGTGAGAGGCCTAAGGTTCAAATCCTAGTCGAGGCAACTTTTTTTTAAGTGTCTTTCTTAAGGAAGTAGCCACGATAAGCAAGGATAAAGTGTGGCTGTCATAAAAAATTATTTTTGATGCAACTCTAGTCATGCAAAATTCCATATGAATCAATCTCAAACTGTTATGGAAAAAAATCTTAACACAGTCGCTGCATAAGATGAATTATAGTATATAAAATAAACTTAAATAGGAAAAAACATACAGATAGTCAGTATGATTTAGATTGCAAAGATCAGAAAATACCACAGAGCTTGCAGCCCTTTGATTAATTTACATAGACATAAACTAATGGCGGAGAAAAAAGTCATTCATCTGATATGTAATGTAAGTATAGCAGTCAATTAACTTTCACTTGATGCCAGTAAAGTTTATCTGGAGGGTATATGATATTTTTAATAGGAAAACAAATAATTTTTGATTATAAGATACTTCAAAATGCATTAATTTTAATAAGATTTATAGTTTAGTAAGTAGTTCATTATCTTTATAGTAGTTGTAAGAAATTTTATCACTCATTATTTGATTGAATTTGAAATTGGGAGATGTAAATATAGAACCAGGTTTATTGCTAAGTTTCATTTTTACAGTGTGTTTTAACAGTCAATTTTAATGTGAAACAAGTTTCCAAGTTTTTTGGGGCTTTTTTGTTGTTGATTACTTCTTTTCCAAACCCAAATCTTAATTTAATTTTTTAATTTTAAAAATTTCATGTCACATTATAATGTTATCAAATTAAAAATAAAATAAACATGTTATTGAAAATTGTGTTAAAAGGAGTGAGTATTTACATCAGTATATTAGTTTACACGTTACGATCAACATATGACTGAATTGACTGTTTTTATCCCCATATTTCAGCCCCGTTTAACTAAAAGATTCCATACTATTTTTTGTATATTTTATCTAAATCAAGGGAATTTACATTATTCTATTTGTTCATTAAAAATATATTTTAAAAATTCAAAAAAAAAAAATAATAATAATAAATAAATAAAAGTGAACAAATAAATAGATAAATAAAAATAATGAAAAATAAATAAAATGAATCTGGAAGTATGATGCTTTAATGAATATAATAGGACTGGTTTGTTTTGCTGTTATTGTTTACATTTTTTTCTTCTCTTTTATTTCGGTGGATCAGCTGTCTATGAACATTACAGATTTGAACAATTGAAATTGATTTCCCCCCCCCTCCCCCCCTACGCTGTCATATTTTCCATTAGAAGCTTACAAGCTGCTGTCCATATTGAATATGTATTTATGTTACAATTGTGCTTGATACAGATTGTCTCACATCACACTCATGTGATTAAGCAATATAGTAATTTATTGAGTGGTTAAAACTTTTGTGAATTATAAAACTGAAATTTGTGATGAAATTGGGATTTTCATGAGAGAAGTAGCTGGAATTAATATTTGTCTCGCTCCTGTAATGATATTTACAGAGATTGCATTTAAGTCATCAGTGAAGAAATTTCATTTGGATAATGATTAAGTTGGACTTTTATTAATTTTGTTCTATAATGTACACATTATTCGTCTAATTATTTTACTTCCTGATTGATATCATATTGATTGTTTTGATGGCACATTTAGTATTCTGAGGGCCCCATTTGGTATTCTGTGGCTCCCACTTGGTGTTCTGTGGCCAAACTTGGTATTCTGTGGGCCCCCTTTGTATTTTGTGTGCTTTCCAAGGGCTCATCTTGATATGCTTTGGACTTATTCAAGCTTGTCAATGCTTTGGAATTTTGGGACTTGCTCGGGCTCTCTTGGTATTGTTTGAACTTGTCATGGGTCGCTCATGATATTCTTTGGACATAATTATCCAGGGTCCCACTTGGTATTCTTAGGATTTGCTAAGGGCTACTCTTGGTATTTTTTTACTTGTCCATTGCTTTACTTCATATTCTTTTGACTTGTCCAATACCAACTTTGTATTCTTTTATTTGCTCCTCTTGGTATTGTTTGAACTTGTGCAAGGCCTCATTTCATATTGTTTTGACTTGCCAAGGTTCTCACTTGCAATTTATAGAATTGCCCAGCGCACCTCTTTGTATCTTTTGGACTTGTCTAGGGCCTAACTTGATATGGTTTGGTCTTCACAGTCCAGGGCTGTTTTTTATATTCTTTGAACCAGTCCTGTCCAGGGCATAACTTGATATTCTTTGAATTTTAAACTCCAGAGTGCCACTTTCTTTCTTTAGATTTGTCCAGGCCTGCTGGCCTTAATATTGTTAAGACATATCAAGGGGCCTAGAAGATATTCTTTGAACTTACCAAGGGTCCCACTTGGTATTCTTTTGTTTTGCTAAGGGCTCCTCAAAGTATGGTTTGGATGTATTCAGCTTCAGGGCTAGCCTGGGTATTCTTTTAACTGGTCTTCTTTTTTTGTACTCTGATGATTTGTCAAGAACTCTTTGGTCTTTTGGGCACTTATATTAACAGTCCAGCCTCAGTATGGTATAAACTTGTCCAGGGCTTCTTTAAAAACTTTGACGAGTGTTCCAGGGCCACTTTTGTTTATCATCGATCTGAAAGTGAGGACTTTGTACGTGCAATACTGAAGTACATGTTGATGTTTACTCAGTTCCTTGTGGGATGAAATATTATGTTGAGAGTAATTATTACTCAGTAGCACAGCAAGATATATCATTATTTACTTATTCCTCCACAGTCAGTGTATTGATCCAAACAAAGCATGAAAATGTGCAGATGGGGAAAAGTGATATGAAAGTGTTTTGAATTATAAGGGAATGGATACTACAATTTTGGTTAATTATTGAAAATATGTGTTAGTATATAAAATGGAGGATACAGCCTCGATGCCTTTGAAGTAAGTATGAATATTATTACAAATAACAGGAAAGAAGTTATTATTTGGCAATGGCTTAGTTCATTAAGTGTAGGAGACAAGAATTATTGCCTAATTTACTGGTCTTCCGTACATTAGTATTTTATTTGTTTGGAAAATATTTAAAGTCAGGGCATTTTTGTAAAATGGCAGTTACAATGTGATATGTTTAAGATAAAATAAACATCTCCAAAACGATTATAGTCTTGCACACTTACTGCTGTGGGTTTGAACCCTAAGTATGATGGATTCCTCTACATGTGATAGCCCTTTTAGCCATAGTCTGTTAAGTCAGATAATAGCCCTTTTAGCCATAGTCTGTTAGGTCAGTCATTATAAGTCGGATTGACTTCAAACTTGGTATGCATGCTTTTTATCGTGACTTGAAGTGCAGTGCATAAGAACCGGTTCTCTGCACTTATTAATTTTTGAGCTATTGCACTTTGTTAATTTTCATACTTTATTTTTGTCCGGGCCATTTCTCCTAAAGTATAAAAGCTATGGACTTGAAACTTCATAGGATGATAGATCTTATTAAGAAGAAGTGCAGTGCATAAGAACCGGTACTCTGCACTTCTTATTTTTTGAGTTATTGCCCTTTGTTAATTTTCATACTTTATTTTTGTCCAGGCCATTTCTCATAAATTATAAAAGCTATGGACTTGAAACTTTATAGGATGGTAGATCTTATTGATAAGAAGTGCAGTGCACAGAAACTGCTGCTCTGCACTTCTTTTTTTTTTGAGTTATTGCCCTTTGTTAATTTTCATATTTCATTTTTACATATTTCATTTTTGTCCTGGCCATTTCTCCTAAACTATATTGTTCACAAGGTGACACATCCGACTCGCGGAGTTCTAGTTATTTCAATCTTGACGTATTATGGGAATGCCTCTGGCATGTGGGCTGGTGGATGGGTGGCGTCCAATTTTATCTCCTACTCTTATGGTGGGATTTTAATTAAAGAAATGTTCACCACTATGAGAAGCTGTGTCAGGCACATGAACTAGTTCTCTAGGTCAAAGGTCAAGGTCACACTTAGAGGACATTAAAAAATACTTGTCCAGAGCAAAACTTCTACGTACATAGAGGGATTTCTATATATTAATTGGCACAAAAATTCACCATTGAGAGGTGGATTGTAGCCCACAAATTCTTGCGGCCAAGGTCACTTACAGAGGTCAAAGTTCAGGTAAAAATATGAAGATGTGTATAGGACCATTTAGTCATCATTTATAGATGGATTGTTGCACAAATGGTAACTACCATAACTATGGCTGTGACACATGTAATTAAGGTCATTATGTAAAAGGTCAAGATCACTAGAGATGATTATTTAAATATCCTAATATTATTCAGAGCATATCTCCTACATGCATGGAGGAATTTTAATGTTACTTTATAGAATTGATCACAGCCATGATATGTAGTGCCCTGTACATGAACTTTGAATGGAATGATCCAAGGTCAAAGCAGGTCATATATATTGCACAAATTTAGCAGGTTACAGGTCAAACAAGTTAAGAAAGACTTTGGTTAGATGTTACCTTGGCAAAGTGGTTATGGTCACCAGCTTCAAGTCACACTTCACCTCAATCTGTTGATATCCCATCAGAGACTTTTGATTCATTTGAGGAGGCTATCCAGCAAACTTTTGGAAGGTCAGTGGTTCTACTCAGTTGCCTGCTTGTGACTATAATAATATACTTTAGGGGCACCTTAGGTCTTCCTTTGCCAGTAAAGCTGGAAATTAGCCATGTGACATTTACATTGTCAGAGTGAGTTACAGGTAAAACCCATTAACACAAAACAAACTTAAAGGTAAGATAGCACCTTTGTGCTATTGAATGTTTTTAGGTGGTAATTTGAGATACTGTGCACAGAGGAGGATCTTCATTAGTAAAGCTCACAGTAAAAGCACAATTTGCCATTGATTTCCGCTGCTTTGACTCCAAATTAAACGAGAGCTGTAATGAAAAAAAAAGACTTTAAAAGAAACAGGGAAAGCAAAACGAGCAATTATTACAATGTATATAGTGCAGCCAATCCCTGTGATGTCAAATAGTACACATCATGATCTTTTATTGTATAATTAACCGAGACTTACCTAAGTAAGGTGAAGGTTGATTGTAATTTCATCGACTGCAATCTCCTTTAACCCATTACTTCATATACACGCCTTTTAACGCCTTTTTCACCCCCCCCCCCCTTTTTGTTGTCTCAAATGATGAAAAAATGCCTTATTTAGGCCCCAAACACTTGTTTTTGTTTGAGAAATGTTGTTAAAAAAATTGACCTCTTTTTCGGCGCGACCCCCCAACCAAAAGATACATCAGGGGGTTGCCAAAAGGGGGATGTGCCCCCTTCTGTTTTGGGGGGTTTGAAGGGGGGCGGAGTCCCCCTCATCGCCAAGAAAATTTTGGACTTGTGAGAGGCTGTAAATGACCCCAGATTGATCATAAGGTAACGTGTAACCAACGCTGAAAAAGCATTTGACTCTATCTCAATCCATTGATAAGTTGCAGCACTTTGAAATCAATTTTGATGGAAAAAATCAACGCAAAATAGTGATTTTTGGCAATTTTGAGATGTCCCCTCGTTGCCATGGTAACAGAAAATTAAGTCTGAGCATGTTGTTGCAAGGACAATGGTTCAGTCAACATTTGTGCCAAGTTTGATTAGTGTTGAAGCAGTTTTTATAGTATTATAGCAATTTGAACTTGTAACGGGAGACTTTTCAATGAAACAGCCATTTTTCACAAAATGCTCATGAAGCAATGGGTTAATGAAAAAAAAAAAAATCTACAAAACAACAATTTTTCTTCAAATTTATATGACAGGCCATGTTTAAACATGAAAAAAAAACGCGATTTAGGGTAATTTCAAGTATTTTCATCATTTTCAGTTAACCCATTACTTCATATACACGCCTTTTAACGCCTTTTTCACCCCCCCCCCCCTTTTTGTTGTCTCAAATGATGAAAAAATGCCTTATTTAGGCCCCAAACACTTGTTTTTGTTTGAGAAATGTTGTTAAAAAAAATTGACCTCTTTTTCGGCGCGACCCCCCAACCAAAAGATACATCAGGGGGTTGCCAAAAGGGGGATGTGCCCCTTCTGTTTTGGGGGGTTTGAAGGGGGGCGGAGTCCCCTCATCGCCAAGAAAATTTTGGACTTGTGAGAGGCTGTAAATGACCCAGATTGATCATAAGGTAACGTGTAACCAACGCTGAAAAAGCATTTGACTCTATCTCAATCCATTGATAAGTTGCAGCACTTTGAAATCAATTTTGATGGAAAAAATCAACGCAAAATAGTGATTTTTGGCAATTTTGAGATGTCCCCTCGTTGCCATGGTAACAGAAAATTTAAGTCTGAGCATGTTGTTGCAAGGACAATGGTTCAGTCAACATTTGTGCCAAGTTTGATTAGTGTTGAAGCAGTTTTTATAGTATTATAGCAATTTGAACTTGTAACGGGAGACTTTTCAATGAAAACAGCCATTTTTCACAAAATGCTCATGAAGCAATGGGTTAATGAAAAAAATAAAAAAATCTACAAAACAAACAATTTTTCTTCAAATTTATATGACAGGCCATGTTTAAACATGAAAAAACGCGATTTAGGGTAATTTCAAGTATTTTCATCATTTTTCAGTTAACCCATTACTTCATATACACGCCTTTAAACGCCTTTTCACCCCCCCCCCCCCCTTTTTGTTGTCTCAAATGATGAAAAAAATGCCTTATTTAGGCCCCAAACACTTGTTTTTGTTTGAGAAATGTTGTTAAAAAAATTGACCTCTTTTTCGGCGCGACCCCCAACCAAAAGATACATCAGGGGGTTGCCAAAAAGGGGGATGTGCCCCCTTCTGTTTTGGGGGTTTGAAGGGGGGCGGAGTCCCCCTCATCGCCAAGAAAATTTTGGACTTGTGAGAGGCTGTAAATGACCCCAGATTGATCATAAGGTAACGTGTAACCAACGCTGAAAAGCATTTGACTCTATCTCAATCCATTGATAAGTTGCAGCACTTTGAAATCAATTTTGATGGAAAAAATCAACGCAAAATAGTGATTTTTGGCAATTTTGAGATGTCCCCTCGTTGCCATGGTAACAGAAAATTTAAGTCTGAGCATGTTGTTGCAAGGACAATGGTTCAGTCAACATTTGTGCCAAGTTTGATTAGTGTTGAAGCAGTTTTTATAGTATTATAGCAATTTGAACTTGTAACGGGAGACTTTTCAATGAAAACAGCCATTTTTCACAAAATGCTCATGAAGCAATGGGTTAAGGGCTCACACAGAGATGACGCAGCTACCGCAGCCAGATCAGTCTTTAGAGTTAACGGATGATAAAATATTGTCACAGAATGTGACAAAATTTTTTATTGTGGATATCAGAACTTAAATTTTTCATTGGGTGGGAAGGGCAGGGTGTGTGAGCCCTTAAAGGAGATTGCAGTCGATGAAATTACAATCAACCTTCACCTTACTTAGGTAAGTCTCGGTTAATTATACAATTTCATCTCCTGCATATCTCCTTTAATGGGCCCCACAGAGACTTTAGAGATAGTTTTGATATCCATAAAATGAAAGACAACAACATATTTGCTTATTTCTAACTAATATTTCTAAGATCTACTCATTAACATACATTTAAATTTACTGTAATTCCAATGTTAAAATAGCTGTCAATTTGACAGTGAATAATTAATTAATGTTTTATATTGTAATTCTAATGTTAACATAATAATCAATTTCTTATATCACTCCCAATGTCTGATAAAGTCTAAGACACATTTGACATCACCGCTTCCTGAACAGTTTTTGATGGTGTTATATTCTTGTCATAGAAAGTCGCAAATGTTTTTGCATTTGTCCAGCCCGCTGTTTTAATAATAGTGTTTAGATCTACCCCGCAACTCTTTGCTTTAGAGGTAGATGCTGAGCGTGTACTGTGTGGACCATATTGTTCCTCTAAACCGGCATTTACCATAACAGTTTTGATCCAGCGACTAATTGTGCTACGTGATACCCCTTTGTGGGGCTTTTGTGTGCTGATGATCAACATTTCACCATTTCTTAATACAGCAGTTCTTGTTAAATATTCTTGCAATGTTCCAACAAAACAAACCGAACAATTGTGGTATTTAGTAATTTTCATTGGTTTTAGTATGTTTCCTGGCTTGCTGGTTTTTAGAATTGATGTTGTATTAATGACTACATAATCATTGTTCAGCCCAAAAGTGAGGTCTGTGATTTTAAGCATATGTAATGTTTGACAACGTTGCGCCGACACTAAGAGATAAAGCATACACAATTTCCTTGATAATTGAAGTAAAGATAAGGTCTCCGCTGATTCTAAATAAGACAGCACAATATTAACATCCCAAATACACGCATATTTCGGTACTGTTGGTCTTTCCAAGAAACAACCTTTCATGAATCTAATAATATGACTATTTTCATGGATATCTACATTTGAACATATTTTTAAGAAAGTGCTTATTGCTGACCTAGCAGTATTTAACGAACTGTAACCTAGTCCTTGATCGAATAAGATTGAAAGAAAGCTTAATACTTTGTTGATACTGGGCTTAAGGGGATTTTGCGATGATCCACAAAAATGTATCCATTTTTCAATATATCTGTCATACTGTTGTTTTGTGGAATTTCTCCATGAGCTAAGGATGAGTGCTCGAGCCCGTTTAGGTACTCCTTGTGATCGCAGGACTCTCCGGATATGCAAAAAACTCCTAGTCTCATCTTTTTTAGCGGATGTTGTATATGGGGTTTGTGATGAAGTGTCAGAATCGTTTGTGGACTTGGTAGAAGATGACAAGGGCCGCATATGAGATTCAATAGGTTCGGCCACCAGTTTTGTGTTGGCCAGATTGGCGCTATTAGAATTGCCTTTGCCTTGTTTTCTTCCACCTTCTGTAGTAGTTTTGGTAGCAGACTGAAAGGAGGAAACATATAATATAATTCATTGCTCCAGACTATGCTAAATGCATCAATTGCGATTGCTTGATGATCGGGGTACCTAGATACATATGAAGGAAGTTTGTAATTTGTTCTTGATGCAAATAAATCTATGCTCATGGATGGATACATTTCCAACAATAAACCAAATATGCTGTCATGCAGAGACCATTCCAAATCATCGTTTGATTTCCTAGACAATACATCCGCTGTATGATTCTCTTTTCCCGGAACATGAGCTGCACTCAAGTGTATATTACGCTCTATGCACCAGAGCCAAATTTCGCGAGCAATATTGTCCAGAACTTCTGTTCTGCCCCCAAATTTTGAAATGTATGACACACTGTTTGTATTATCCATGAATACTTTAACATGTGAATTCTCAAGGTCTTTGCATAATGCCATGATTGATAGTTGACACGCTTTCAGTTCTAAAATGTTAATGTGTAAATTTGTGTCCTCTGGAAGCCAGACTCCTTCTGTTTTAATGTCATTTGTTTTGTCATAACCTCCCCAACCAAATAACGACGAATCTGAATAAAGTTCTACTTTTGGATTTCCATGTGAGATTTTCTTAAAACTTGTTTCAATGGTAGAAATCCACCATTTTAATATGGCTGGGATTGAATCTGGTATTTTGAAAAAAGCATCAAAATTTCCTTTATTGTTTTTTAATGACATTTCTTTAACTTTCTCTAATGGTTTTATATATAATGTAGCATATTCTACTCCTGGCTCCGCTGCTACAAGTTTCCCAATTAGTTTCGCGAATTGACGAATTTTTATTCGGTCCTTCTTTAACATTTCTAAGCACATGTCTTTTATTTCAAGCTTACGTGTTTCAGTTAGACGAACTGTCATAGTAGTTGAACACAGCATAAATCCCAGGAATACCAATGTTTGGCAAGGTTGTAATACAGATTTTCTAAGTTTATTGTTAAGCCCAAAGAATCTAACAATGTCACTGTGTCAGCTATATTCTTTTCACATAGATTAAAGGTGGCAGCCTGTAAGCAGGAATCATCTATGTAGGCAGTGCTTATATGACCTAATGATCTTAAGTGGGCAAATGCCGGCTTTAACAGTTTGGTAAATACCCTTGGACTACTAGTAAGCCCCATTACAAGGGCACAAAATTCATATTTATTGTCTTTGAACCAGAATCTAAGTAAACGTCTATCGTCTTTTGCTATTGGTATTGAATAAAAAGCGTCTGTAAGATCAACAGAACCAAACCAACAATTTTTTCGCATAGCAGCTACAGCTGTGTTTAAAGTTTCCATTTTAAAGTGTGTTTTAGACATGTACCTTTCATTAAATAATTTCATATTTAGTATCAATCTTATGTTTCCATTTTGCTTTGGTCTGATGAAAATGTTGGAAATGTATTCACCCACTACAGTTTTCTTGGTTACTTTTTGAATTATGTTTTTCTGAACAAATTTATTTAGTTCCTGTTCTATTTTCAAATCTTCTTCCTCGCTAAATTTGTATGGATTTGGTGTTTTATATTGGTGTGGTTTTTCATCTATTTCAATTTTGTACCCCCTAATGGTGTTTAGAACCCAATAATCTTTTGTAATTTTTTCCCATGCTTCCATGGCAGTTTTGGTTTTACCAGCAACAAAGTTTTCTTTAGTGTTTTTTATGTTAACTGACAAAGAGCCAATACTCACTTTTATTGTGTTTTGTAGAATCGTTTTTGTTTTCCCCCTCTGTTTTGATGTCCCATCTTTTTTGGGTAGTTGTTGAAATTCTGTTTGTGTTGGTTGTTGTGCTGGTTGTTTTGACGGTTTGGGCCGTGATATCTCGGGCCCCGACGTTGGTCTAAAAAAGACTGCTGAGTTTGACCAGTGCTGTTGTACATTAGATTGACCCTTGATTCCGATATAAGTGATTTTGCCTCTTCCTGTAGATTGTCACCAAAGAGTTTCCCAGCTGAATGTTGATGTTTTTGAATGGCATTTCTGTATCTTGGGTGTACTGTTCTGCGTATTCTCTCTCTACGCGTTTGAATGTTCTTGTTTATGGCGTTTGTCAGAAGCTTAAAGGCGTCTCCAATGTTTTGTTTTAATTCTTTGTTATTAGAATTTTGGACTTGTCCCAAAGCTTTTGTGAGGGGAACAAGTGTAGCAGCCATTGATCCGTGACATCTTTGTAGAATGTAGTCCGCTGCTTTCACTTTTGGATTTAATCTTCGCCAAAGAAAGTCATCAATTTGTGGGACTTGCAGCCACGGTGTGTTTTTAGGCCTTTTCTGTCTGTCTTTGATCTCTTTGATTTTTGCTTCATCTTTTTCTTTTAGATTAGCTTGCAGAGCACTTGTTGTTAAATGTGCTAGTTTTTCGTCAACTTCCGGGCCTACTTCTGAATCTTCTGTATAAAATTCTTCCAGATCCTGGAGAAAGGATGCATCATCTTCATCGTTAGAGTGCTCCCCCGAAAGAAATATATCAATGTCATCATTATCTTTCCCCTGAGTGCTATGTGCATCCGTCTCTTCTTGAAGTTCTTCAGAATCTGTTTCTGAATCGGACTTCTGTTCACATACCCTTTTTGCTGAACTTTGCCCATCATCCATATTGGTTGTTGTTTTTCTTTTTAAATCATTGACATCATCTTTCAATGCTTGCATAGATTTGTGCATCTCTGCAACGGACTTGGCTATTCCTGAAAATTCATCCATCCGTTTTTCAAATGTTCTCAAGATAGCGTCCCCTGGTAAGCTTTTCCCGTATGGGGCCTCAGACTCCGAACCAGACGCCATATTTGTAATTGATATGGTACCTAAAATTGAGTAACATGTTTTGTTAAAACTCAAGAGATATTGACAATATTTTGTCTGTCTTAAATATCTTTGTATTTTCGTCATAAATCAAATGTCCCATATTGATACTATAACCGAGCAGGAGAAACGAATTACTTTCGTTTTCCGAAAATCTAATTTTATCCGATAACGGATATCTAAAACATTGTCCATTCGATTGTTAGTAAGCCCCGCATATAATATGCTTTACTACTTGGCGTAACGCGCATATCTAAAACGCCGCACTGCTCGGCTATTAATCAGCTGATAAACACGCGCACCTGCTTGAATATTTGGGCAGATTATTATCTATCAATTTACTCTTTAGATAACTTGGACACTAATTTCATTTTTTACCAACACGATAAACATATATATGTCAATACTGTTCTAAATGCATCGCTTATTAGCTATACTGCAGTACATATTTTGTAAACAAAACTCGCTTATTTAGCGAATGGTCACATCATCACGTGATATTCTGACCATGCCGACCTGTTGGTCATGTAAATGATTTTGTTTTTGCTGGAATTTAATGTTTGAATATTGGTATGTGTTACGTTCACAAATGGATTTCATCCAAAGTTATTTAATTTTGCCTTTCAGGCTAGCTCATAAAGAGCATGATTAGCAACGGATCCTTTTTTCGGATACCTGCTTCCATGGATAATGTCCATAGATCGCCATTATTGACCATCCCTTTAATTTGTTTCTCTAAAATTACGAATTTTAACGAACTTACTTGGTAATCCTGCTGAAAAATAATAACACTTGTACAGAGGATAAATTAAGCCTTTAAAATTAAGTAGACTTACCACGAATGATTTTAGAAAAGTTTTGATTTTATTGATTTTTTAACTCTATAATTTTTTGCGGACGTCTCCGGCTGCTGATAAGCCTCGTTCTGATCTGGCTGCGGTAGCTGCGTCATCTCTGTGGGGCCCATTAAAGGAGATATGCAGGAGATGAAATAATTATCGTTGAGGAACTTCAAGTCTGTAACAGTCTTTGATGGATATGTCTGTAGTTTGTTCAATCTTTTGTTCCAGCATTTTATTTTTCTCTCCCAATTATTCCAGACTGAAGTTTGTCCTTGCTCAGCATTGTAATTATAGAAAATATAATCCCAACTTTTTGTTTGATAGATCTATTGCAAGATATATAAGTTTGAAGCATCCTTGAATGAACCTATAAAAGTTTATTCAGATCATGTCAATTTGAAAGTTGAGGCTCTTATGATTAAAATCTTGATTAATCCCCACTTCAAGGCTTCTTTGCTATTTGATATATACTCATATACAGTAAAACAGTGCAATTGTTTCTTGCCATTGTCAAGGGTTTCAAGATTGGGATACCAGTCAGGGATGTCAGTCTTGCCAGAATGAATTGATTTGGCTTCAGTTATAACCAAGACACTAAATTCACCTTTAGGTAAAGGTGGGAAATAGTCGAGCAAAATGAGCTGTGTTGTTTTGACCTTCCATTTGTCTTTTCTCTGTCATGACAATACAGAGGGTTTTTTTTGGTGGATATTCCAAACTGAAGCGCTGGGGATTTTACCATCTGGCTGTCTCTGCAGGTCACCAGGAATTTGAAAAGCTCAAACTTAGTTTAGTGTCTTGCCAGTCAAAGTCCAAGCTATTTCCTGTGGGATGATTAAAATTGACTTCAATAAGATATCATAGACCCAAATAGGTACAGTTGTTAAAGGATATAAAGCTATGATGGACATTTCGTAATCTATTTATTTGTATTCAGGGGGTGTCCATGTCCAAGTGGTTAAGGTCTTTGACTTCATATTTTATTCCCAAGAATGATATTTTTGTCAGTCTAAAGGGGGTCTCTGTGGCTGAGTGGTTATGGTAGGTGACTTCAAATCAATTTCCTGTCCCAACAGTTTGAATACAAATCCTTTCATGCACATTTTAGACTACACTATCCAGGAAGCTTATCTAAGGTCAGTTATCAATTTTGGGAATGTGAATATGAAAATTTAAAGTTACAAAGAACCTGCTCAGGCTGTAATACTATGATGTCACTGTATTATAGGTGGCAAAGGTTTTAAAGCACATTGGGTTCCGAAAGGATAAGTGTCTACAGGGACAAACCCAGCAAAAAAGAAAGAAAATGTTATTAAGTCAGTGAAAATGCAAGTTTGAAGATAAGAAATATATTTTAGTAATGAACCTACATAACATCCCAAGAAGTAAATTGAATATATAAATAAATAAATTAGTAAAGAAAGTGAAAGAAAAAGAAAGAATTTAAGAAAGAAATATATAAATAAACAAACAAGCAAACAAACATATGGTCAAAAAACTCGGGCAGTTTATAATAATATAAATAGTCATTAGATAAATAAGGTATTGAACTCTTAAATTTGAATATGTGCTTAAGCAAATGATCATTTAATAATGTATGTCAATATTTTAGATTAAAGACATTTGTTAATAATAATATTTTTCATATTATATCATATCATAGCCATTAAATTTTGCCATTTTGTCACCTTATTGCAGTAAAGGGTTTACTCCCATTAAATTAAATCTGGAGTTAACCTATTACTGCACTGAGGTTACAGTTTCATGCCTTGATCAGTAATTGAAATCCCAGTTATATGTAAAATAACACAAATTCTGTAGTCAATTTGTTCATTTAGTTAATTGATAGGTATGTAATAAGAATATTTTGAGTGATGAGCTAGATTTTGTGAGATTTTAATTGTTCCCGCAGGTGGAAGCATTATATTAGATGCTTAAATATTATGTTATGATATAGACTCTGTTTTGAGTGCTTGTAATTTTCTGGTATGTTACACTGCTAGAACAACTAATTTTCAGGTAAATGGGATACACCGCCCCTTAGTCTAACAGGAGTTGGATGTTTTTTCTTGTTTTTTAGAAAAGATGGCCTGGCTCTAATGCACAGGTGTCTTAAGGCTGATCACTTTAGGATTCAGCAGATTGAAGGTTAAATTGTAAAATTATCTATTCTTATGCAAATTGTTTACATTTTTCACCATGTATGGAACATCAAATGAGGAATTATAACAATTTGAATAAATTTGAATAAAAGTAATTTGAAATTAAAACAAATTAGGTCACATAATATACCTCATAGCTTTATTGAAAGTTACCCTAGTTTTACACTTGAATTACATTAACATGGCATTAACATTGACAGCTGTTGTTTTGTATTATATCAACACTGTTTTTATCAGTCTGATTATATTGGAAAAAAATACTGGTATTATACAGGAAAAATGCTGGTCCTTAAAATCATAAATTTTATTTCCTCATTTTAAAAGGTGACTGTACTGAGAAGAATAAGAAAATATAAAAAAAATATCACCTGACATTTGACACCCACAGAAATATTATTGAAATAGTGTTTATAGGATTGTATTTCAGGTATTGAAGTGTCAGTAGAGCTGGAATGGCTTTTTGAATAAAGTTGGCAGCATCTTTCTACTGTAAAAGCCTTAGCTGAGTGAGCTGTCATGTAAATAAAACCTTCAGGGCTGTAGTGCCTTTAATTGTCATTTGCTCGTGAATTTACAATAGCTTTACAATTTATAATATATAAATCTATTGTTATGTAAAACATGTTTTCATGCCTGTACAGGGAGATAATATTGTTTCTGTCTTGTCAGTGTATCTATATGTTTTAACCTTTGTAAGAATGGAACGTTGGTGGTTCTACTCAGGTGCCCGTTTGTGCCTGAAATAATGCACGGAAGGGCACCTGAGGTCTTCCTCCACCAGTAAAGCTGAAACGTCGCGATATGACCTATACTGTGTCGATGTGACGTAAAACCCCAAAACAAACAAACAAAATAACATCTTCATTTTATAAGTCAATGCCTTTATATATCAACAGATAATACCTCTGGAAAAAAGCTTCATCTCAATGTGTTTACAATAACCTTGACCCCAAATGACCTTGATGTTTAAGGTCATATTCTCAAGAATTCTGAAAAATTTCACAAGAACTTTGTCTTTTAATTCTAGTTTTCTGAAAAAGTATGAATTATCATTATTTATTATGTTCATTTCCTCAATATGTTTTTATCCAAGTTCACCATTTCATATTATAATTTGCAGGTTGTGGGCGGAGATATTCCATGTGGTGGGTCATGGAGACTTTATGCAGTGGAAGCGTGTATCTGAGGATGTCGTGCCCATCAATATCACTTGTGTGGAGGACACGCCCAAAACCCTTTTCCAGGTCACAGCTTACAATAGACATGTTGAAAAGATCTTTGATGTCAGAATTGTTCAACCAGGTTTGTGTTCAGGAAAAATACATAATTTATATATTTTGAGGGCATTGTTGTAAAATAATACAAGGTTCACGTTCAGATGTTCAGTAATATAATCACAAGGACCGATCGGCCCATGTGATTGATTGCAAAGCATTTGAACAATTACTACAACACAAGAAAATTTTTAATCTAATTCCCATTCTTATGAGTAGTCGTAAGTTCAATCTTTTTAAGGGTCAAAACTTTATATTCTGCCATATATTGAATATATTTAGCCATAAATGATTATAAACAATAAAACCAGCAGAGAAAGGATTAAGCTGAGGAAAATTTGCGATTAAAACCATGGAATGTTAAATAAAAATTTGAATCTTAAACAGTTTTCGGTTAAACTATTTTTAAGGAAATCATCTATATCTGCGGTGTGACTACGGAGTGGTCAACGTGTCAGATTAGCAATCTAAGAATTACTAGCAGTGTGGGTTCAAACCCGTGAGGTACACTCATTTCTTAGTACTGGTTTGTTCCAGGAACGGATTCTAGAGTGTTTCAATAAGCTTATACCTTCCAACACAATAAAACTGAAATAAGTTCGTATAAACAAAACTAATAACTGCAAATTAATGTTTTATAATACTAAAAATGTTGATAGGTGACACAGGTTACCACTTCCACTTTGTGGACATTCAGCCTATAGCAAGATCTTTAAATGGTAGCAATAAAATAATAGCCAAATTCCCAGAAATGGTAAAAAGCTTTAAGTACATCATAGAAGCCACGCTGACCTTTGTGGAAATAGCAGAAATAACTAAATATTTTAGAAGTGCAACTAATTTTCCTGTTCCAATGGCGTAACTACTCTTCAAAAATGATTAAGGAAAAAGATGTTTATTAGTGTTATAACATCTGCAGACTCTCTGGGGCAGAAAGAGTTAATTTGCCTACTTAGCAAGAAAAACAAAACAATTTCTTAACCAATTTTCATCAAACTAGCTAATGTTACATAATGATTTTGGTTCGGTTAGTATTTTAGGTGAATTGTGTGAGTTACGGCACTCAGGGGCTTTCCTGTTTCTTCATTTTTTCCATGATGTTTTTGGAAAAATACTATACATGTACATAATGTCTTGGAAATGAATAACCTTGCTATATCAAAAGGAAAGTGGTAAAAACACCTCAATGAAAAGTTGGAAAGCTGATTAAAGGAAAAATGACAAAATGCCCTTCATGGATAGACCAAAGGCCAAATCCCTTATTTAAAAAATTGCAATGATGACCAAAAGTCCCTCAGTAAAAGTTGTAAAAATGACTAGAAGCTCCTTAGTAGAAATTGCAAAGATGACCAAGAGCCCCTCACCGAAATATGTAAAATAACCAGAGGCCCCTCAGTAAAAGTTGTAAAAATGACCAAAAGCCCCTCAGTAAAAGTTGTAAAAGTGACCAAAAGCTCCTCCTGTTTAAGGCTGACCTGTCTTTATATTGCTGCCCAAGTGTCAAAGTCAAGTCATTTTTGCTCTGAAAGAGTCTAATTCTAAATTTGTTTTGCACATTTCTACTGATAGGCATTTCTAGAGCCATGTGTTGCAAGATCAAACACAAGAAAATTAAAAGTAATTAAGCTTGCAGTTGTTCATTAAAGTTGTTTGATTTAATGATTAAAACCAGGGCATCTTGCAATGACTATGTATAATTTGAACCGTTTTTAGTGTTTACAAATTGTTAAATACAAACCATGTTGCCTAAGTCAGCCGTTTGACCAGACTCAGCACCGTTGAATGCTCAAGTTTTGCGCGTTTCTTTTTATATTTATATTGGCACTCCTAAAATTGATAAAGGGCAATTTTAAATTCTAAGTAAGTTCATTATTCAAATTCAGCAGGACATGTCATATAAAAGTTATATGACCATCTCCTTATTAGGTATCATTATGACCAAATAAGCTTACTTCGAATTAAGAATATTTTGGCTTTTCCCTGAGCTAATCTGGGGGGTGGGGGTACGAAAATAAGTGCAACAGTTTGACTAATCTATTGTCAAGGGCTGTTTACTGTGAAGCTATAATTTGTACCAGGTGGGGGGATTAGCTAGGAACAACCAACATTTGCCAAGTTTCGAATAAAAACTTTTTTTTTAGAGATCTTTCAAAATTGTTTTAATACTGTTATATTTGTAAACTATTCAAATTTTATGCAGGAACATTGTGTATACTAGGTAACTTTTATCAATATAGTTTTACATATGTAATAAATAGATATTCTGTAAGGTGTACGTACAACATGGTTGTGTCCATGATTGCAAAGATAGTAATATTATGTAAATGCAGTATATTTAAAGAAAATTTTTCTTTAGTGCCTGAATTCAATATTGTGTTGAAGCGAAAAGAAAGCAAGATTAAATTATCATGAAATTACATTCTTTTTTCTTCAGGTACCATTCTATGCCCAGCAACAGATTGTTTTGTACACTGGAGGGACCCTCCAAACAACAGTGAATGGGGACTGAACTTTACAACCCCACAAGATGCCAAAAGATTCAGAGACTGCTGTTCGGTACTTTCAAATATTATATATTTTTATAGCTTTCGTAATAAATTATGCTTGAATATTATACCTTACAATATTGTAACACTTCTTGAAGATGTAAGAGTATTGCTTTGCACGTCATCCATTGTTTTGTGAATCCATCAGTTTGTTGACCAGACCTTGTTCAACAAATGAATTGAAGGACCAATTAGTCAGAAGATCAACTAACTTTGACCACAAACCACTTGTCTGACCAATGGCTAAAATGTCTACAGTCTTTAGATTTGGTGGAGAAGTTTTTATAACTAGTCAAATCTGTGTACATTGGCCATCCAAAGGAGATACCTAACATGGTCTTTATAAACAAGTTGTCTTTATTTGGAGGTTATTCTGTTCTATTTAATCAATGAAGGGTTGCCAAAGAAGGCCACTGAAGGTCACTGTGACCTTGACAACCAAAGACTTGTCCAATCAATTAATGATAATATCTGTCATATGTTGTGGTTCGGATCGGAATATTTGTTGCCCATTTGATGAGTTCTTGAGGGATGGATATTCCAATGCAAGCCTTGTTACAGCCTAATGGGCGGTTTCCCTCGACATGGATATTCTGATCCGAATCGCAAACATATGTCAGATATTTTCTCTTGCATATTCTACCATATTCCATTATATTTTAAACTCATTACCTTAATAAAACAATTTTCCTTAGAAATTTATGTCATTACACCCCTAACTATTTCCTTACAACTTCATTCATAACAGTAAAATTACGTCATCCTAAGCATTCCATTGTACAGCACGCGACTCATCTGGCATCCCCCTTTCTGATGAAATTTCCGGCATTGGTAAAACTAACGGAAATGCCAGTCTGATATGCAAAAAAGGACACTTTGTCCTCAAAATGGAGGGTTAATGGTAGCAAAGTCTATGTCATGTGACTAATTTAATATGACAATTTAAATTTGTAACCTGTCATGCTGAACTTGTGTAATGGATCTCCTATCCATTCAAAAGTTTAAGTGATTTCAATATCAAAAAATTAGCTACCACGACACTTGCCTGGCTTTACACTGGTAGGTAAGCCTAATCCTTTTTTGGTTCCAAGAGATTAGAAATATAAAGTGAGTTACTGTATTCTTTGAGTACGGACAAAATTCAGAAAGAAGTACTTGTAAACTGACCAAGGATGTTTAAAAGAAAAAAAAAGCTCACAATGTTCTGCTCTATTTTGTCAGGTTTTCATTATGTTTTACTAGCATGCTTTAATAACTTGTGTTTTTTTCCTCCATTCAATTGAGTTTTAAATGTTATTAATTTCAATTCTCTTCCAATTGCAAAGGAGAAACTTTTAAGTAGAAATTTTAGAAGCAAAGTGCCTAGTTCTAAATTAATATGATTTGATAGGAAAATATTCCGTAGGCAGCAATCTGCAGCTATTGTACAGTGCTTCAGGTTATTCAATTTATATGTAAAAACACACTTTGCAATGCATTCTCCTGTCTCAATGGAACATTTCAAGATGTTATCTTAAAAGGTGGTATTGTCAGAATTTCAAACATACTTTAACATTATATTCTTGTATAAAAACTATGCAAGCAACTATACAGTTATTGAGAAGAATACATGATGAATGGATAAAATCATGCAAGCATAATTATGCCTTTGGTGCTTATTTTTACATATGCTCGACTCAGGAGGCCATGTAAAAATTGCGGACTGCAATGACGGCCCTGGTAATTTCATAATCAAAACATAACTGTCCAATATCATCACACTTACACATGAAAATCGTGACAAAACCATTATCTATATACCAAAACAGATAATAAAGCATGAAATTACGGATTAAGACTTATACTTTATTGCAAGTATAGGGCAAATGCACTTTTTTTCGTGCATTAACATCTGCAAAAACCCTCAAACTTTGTTTTATCCTGCGCCATGTAAGGCTCTGGCTTTAATTGCACAAAATGGTTCTAAAGATGTTAATGCATGGAACAAGGTGCATGTACCTTCTTTTGATCAAAGTCATATGAATGCTTTGAAAACAATGCAAACTTTTTTTAAATGCAGAAATCTGTATTTTAAATAACTAGTATACTGTGCAACACTATAAAGGGATACTACTCTGATATCCATTGCTAAAGTACAAGATTATCGAGGTTAATTCCCTTGAATTCTTGTCCAGCTACTCTTTTCTTTATGAAATGATAATTATATACACCATGGTTTCCTAGATGCGTCAACATTCAATGTCATACACAAGAGGTTCCTGGTTGTGTTTGAGTCCATGTCATACAATAAAGGCGATTTTATAAATGCTACTACAAGTATTACAGAATATGTTCTTGGATTGAGCATTTTGGTGTCAATGCAATTTGACCTTGTCACAAGTTCTATGAGTGTATTGTACATTATCTACAATCATATCTGTTTAACGTAGATTAATTTAAATGCCCGTTAGCTTCATTAAGCATGAAATACTTTTTGATGCTTTTCTCTGATTTAAAATGCAAGAAAGGAAATTTGAAAAAACAAAACAGTACACATGTATTTTTTTACATATCTATGTACAAACAAGTATATTATTAGATAAGTTGTGGTTAAGGAATCTGTGTCTCAACCCAGGGATCTTGGGTTCGAGCCTATTTAGGACATGACCTTGGTTCTTTACATGACGCCAGCTCTTGTTAGGTAAATAAAGGGGACTCAAGAGTGATTCAAATAAACTTCAACGTTTCATCACAATTGAATTAATTGAAATAAAATTTGGATATATATTTAAACTAAATGTTAAGTATTTAATCAGCTCTGAATCAAAATGCATTATTGATTTTCTTCATAACTTGGTTTATTGACAATAGAAATAATGTATTGAGAAATTTGAAGAACTTTTTCTTCTTTTTTTACATGTTTATAGTTTTTATTTGTCATCTAATCAATGTAAGCATAAACATAAAAGAGAAATTGTTTTCATTGTCGAACAGAAATCAGACGGCCATTCTAAAAATATGCAGGGGAGACGCTAAATTACAATAATGTACGTCTTAACCTGGGTGATAAAAATCTTGATCCTTTATAATTGTATTTGCTTTTTTCGTGCAGATTTTACTCCAGTCTTTACGCTTCATTGGGCGATTTTACAAATTACCATACAGTAACCGAAGTGGTCGTGCATAGGAAATAAATGGATGTTTTGTTATTTTGTTTTCACCCTCTTTTAGTATTAAGTAAATATTTTACAAGAGGGTGATAGCGGAAATGACCGAAGTGGATTTATGTTAAAGTATTTATTTTTTGAAGGGTTTTAACTAAATATTTCTTTATTTTTATAATGGATTTGGAAGATTTTTTTTTTTGGAATAGGAAAATAGTGTTGTTTTTGTCCATGGTAGATTGGAAAAAAAAACTAACTTCAACAGAAATCAATGGATTATTTATATGACTGGACGTTTTAAGACTTCATGTGAAAATGAATTATTTTGGCTACATTTTTTTTTAAAGATATAAACAATTGTGGTCACATTATTGCTCATGTTGTGGTCTGTGAAATTTTTATAATATTTAAATTGCTTTGTTTTGAATGTACTTGAACTTTAGAATTTTATACTGTAAGCATTTGATTAAATTGCATCTGTATTTTGTACTCTTTGCAGTTATGATTATGACTTCATTTGTGTATGTTGAAATACTGGTTTTTTGCTAACTTGCCCAATTGAAGGCAAGAAACTTGGTGTTTGCCAGTCTTTGGACTGTGTTCTATTTCTTTGAGTTTGAAGTATTGGTTGATTAATCATGGACTATTTTATTTTTCAGTTGACCAGTCAGAAATATGCAAGGAAAGCCTCCTCAGCTAATTCATTGAGACTCAGTCCACCAAAGGTAAGTTAAAATACAATATATTTGATTACATTATTAAAGATGTATAAAGCTACAATTGAAAATCTAGTGAAATATTTGTTATAAAGTTTATAGAAGGTTAGTCTATAATTGTTGCTTTCATAATCTAAAAGTCTGTTCTCAGAAGAGTTGCGACATTGGTTGTCTATGTTATTTTAAAGACAGATTTAAATTTTTTGAACATGAACAGAATAAAATGTTTCGGAACAAATTATTATGCTGCTTATTTTAAGTTTTAAAATCAATCATATTTCTTTCATACAGGTATTTTCCGAAATTCAAACAATAATTTTTTAAACTGCAGACAGCAAATATATAGCTTCATACATTTTAAAGCATTAGCTAGCAGAAGAATTGTCTGCCCCATGTACTTCTTCCTTCAAAGCTTGTAGGAAATCTGCATCCTTAGCTTGATAGGGAGAGCATCAAATTTATAATCCAGGGGCCACTCAGGCAGGGCAAAATTTCTGTTGATCTTTGATCTTTGATATGAGTTCATTTATCTTTGATATGATATTTTTTCATTTTATATGCTATGTGTTACGATCTTTATAAGATATTTATATTTGAACATTGTTAGGGCTTTTGGATCTCAATATTATTGAGATTTATGGTGTCTGACATAAAGAAATATAGAATTTCATAGAAATTCAACCTATTTGGAAAAGTGCATAATGTCATCATATTATCTTTCAGGGTAAAGGTAAACCTAGCGTGTCATCACCTAACTCTCCGATACACGATCCCCGTCGGGTCATCTCTACTCCTTATGACTTGAATCAGGTTGAGCCATGTGAGTGTATTACACCATCAACGGAACGTGAAGCATTTTCTCGTGACAATAAAGCTGCTACGATACCTAGAACACAGACTGAATCAGGGGCAGATAATCAGAAATTTCAACCGCGGGGAATTCTTAAACCATCGTCTGGTTCCTCTGGGCCAGTGTATGAATCTATTAACAATTGCCGACAATCAGTGAATAATTTAGAGCAAGGCGGCCATGTTTACCAAGGTCCCAGATCTGCGTCTGCTGGACCGCTGACTTATAGTGATAGTGTAGATCAATCTGGGTCAAACTCCGGTGCATTTTCAAGATACGGGAAATCTCCTGTCAGAACATGTGAAAATATACGTGTCGAAACAGCTTTTGTAGGTAATTTCGAAAGTTCATGTGATTTGGACCAAACATCTGGTAGGAAAAGTGTTACTATAGCAACTAAACATGAAGAGAAAGAAATAGAACAAGATCCACCGACACCTGTTGATAATGAAAATCAAAGTATTGTTGTGCACAAGGATTGTATACGTATTTTAGCTCCGCAACCTCACAAGTTATTACCAGATTCCCCTAGAAGTAGCTCACATAATTCAGAATCCCCAGAATGGCCTTCACCCCCTGAACCTTTGACCCCTCAAACCCCACAGACACCAACTTATAATCTTGAATTTGATAGTGACTCTATAAAGAGAATGTTAGAGAATTTACCGTTGTCTCCAGAAACAGATTCAATGGCAGGAAGTATTCATGAGCACGATCAAGGCTTTCATGAAGACTCATTATGTTCTGGTTTGAAGGATCAAAACCAGGGTTGTAAAGGCAAAGTAGGGGCAAATGGAACACAGTGTAGTACAACAAAATGTGATAATCGTCCTAATCAGTTAGGCAGTCCACAACTGTTAGATTGTGAAATTGCTAAAAGATGTGTTAGAGACAGCTTTGGTAGAGATTCGAACCCAGACAGTGGATTTGGCGGCATGCCAAGTGATGTAGCGGTGTCACTGTCATCTGGTGAGACAGCTAGTATACAGAGTACAGGTAATAATTAATGCGTGCAAAATTAATATAGAAATATCTAAGCCCTTACTTGGCTACATTTGTTAACCCAGGTCTTGCTGACTTTGTAAAACGTTGAAGTTTAAGGGATCTCAATATCAAAATACAAATATTGAGCTACCAACAGTATAGAGCCTGGTCAGATTGCGTATAAGACATGGGTTACATTTATAGTGGAGATAAAGGGAAATAACAATGTTTTGTAAGAATCTTGTTTAATTGTGCAGTTCAGTTTCTTGAATAATTTCTAAGATCAATCGATGGTTGTCTCAAGATGTCGTTGTTGTTGGTTTTTTTCTTTTAATTTTTGTTCAATGACTTGAAACATTAAATGTAATTTATTATGTGCCAGTGGGTTGTGAACTTAGAATGTATTGAATTTTACATTAAAAAATGAATTTTATTGTAGAATATTGAATTTTACATTAAAAAATGAATTTCATTGTTAAATATTGAATTTTACGATAAAAAAAATGAATTCTATTGTAGAATATTAAATTTTACATTTAAAAAATTGAATTTTATTGTAGAACATTGATTTATTTGTTTGATATTATTGTTTGTACTGTTCTTTATGGACAATTAACTGTTAGAAATATTGCCTAAATAATGAAGCACAGATTGTAAGATGGACTTGTCCATTTAAAATATTTTTGCTTGGAAAGGATTAATTAATATTGGGGGAAAAGCTATATATCTGTAGCCTGTAGTCATGTTACATCTTTCCTAATAATAGTAAAATCTTTCCGTCAGAGAGCAAAATTAATTCTTGGCATGAAGAATTTTCATGAATATATTTTTAATTAGTTTCTTAGAAATATGACATTTTCTTATACAATAATGTCAATTAGATATATGAGACATTTTGATGAAAAGGCAAATAAATTTGATACTTAATTATCAGTAATCTTAGATACTAAATATAGACATACATGTAGTAGAAACTGTTAATAATATACGCCCAGAATCTGTACAGGAAAGGGTAGTACTACAAAATAATTATTATTTTTCATTGGGAACTTATTTTTGTGGTATTCATGGGTAGGTCAATCGTGCTGTAAGATTATTTTGCATAACATTATTTACATTTTACCTTTTGGAAAAATAAACAGTCCACAAATTAAAGAACCCACGAAAACGTTCTTTTTGACAAAAGCATGAAATTTCTTGCCCATGAAATTTAGTGAATTCACACCACGATATGACTGTTGATGGGAATATAGATTTGTGTGTGTACATAAGTTACTGGAACAAGATACTGTAATTGTGTGTAATAACTGTAATTGCCTCCAGAAATGGTAGTTTTCCCCCAGAAAACTGATATTGCCTTGAAAAACTCAAATAATTTACAGAAATTGTAATAGTCCCCATGCAGAAACTGAAAAAGAATGACAGAAACTGCAATTGCCAACTAAACCAACCTTTCCTCCAGAAACAGTTATTGGCTTCAGAAACTTTTAAATTACAGAAACTATTGTTGCCACCAGAAACTCATTTTGTTTCCAATAACAGTAATTTCCTTTTTAAACTGTAATTACCCCGAAAGAAATGTAATATGTTACAGAAACTGTAATTGGCTGAAGAAACTGTTATTTTCCTCAAGAAACAGTTTTTGCTTTCAGAAACTCTTAATAGTTTACAGAAACTGTAATTGCATATAGAAATATAGAAACTGTATTTGTCTCAAGTTAGGCAATTATCTCCAAAAACTTGGAAACATCAACAACAACAAAACATTTATTATCTGTAGAAAAGTAATACACATACAAACATTTTATTTGTTTTCATAAACCAATTTATTTGTTACTAGGAACTGTTGCCATCTAAGAAACTGTGAAACAATCCTAAAAAACTAATAAAAGTGATGTAGAGACTTCATATATTTATTTTGTATTAGGAAAAATAGACATTTTATGATTTTTAAGGCCAGTCAAAAATACTTTGCCAAGCTATATACCAGATGTAGTAACTGTCTCATTAAATGAATTTAAAGGCCCATTATGCCTTAGAAATTCAATAATTTTTATTTCTCAAAAACGTTCTATCTATGGTATCTAGTTATAGTTTCCAAACAAATACTCATTTGTCATATATATAAACTGTCTTTTGCTTATTTTGCTCTATTTGCAAATACTATATTTAGTAAATTAATATGAATTTTGTATGGAAGTCAAAATACTACTTTTGTTTACATTTTGCAACCTTAAAGACACATCACTGCATGTTCAGAGCTATTTTTTTCTTTTCAATTGTTGAATATCTAACATGCTTTTAATACAGTATTAAAACATAATCAAACACAGGTTTGGCATTTATAATAAATAAAAAACTCATAGATTTCTGAGGCATAATGCACCTTTAACTTTGTCATATCTTATATGCTAATAGTAATAAATGGTTTGTTTCATGATTGGAGTAGCTGAGAGTCTTGTTGGCAGTCTTTTGTTAACCTTACTAGTGACTACGTCATGCCCTAGCTCTTTGCAGAAGTCATTTTGTCATGCTGATTATTATTGTTGATGGCAGAAATATTGTTTATAGTAAATTTATTTATGTAACAAGTTTATTTTTATCAGCAGGAAAATATTGATCAAGATATATGCCAGTTTTGAGGACATTATTTGAGAACTGAGATTTGTCACAAACAGGTTTTTAGGCCAGGCTGATAATACATATAGAAGTTGTCATGGTTATTTCAATACAATATTACATGTACATTGTATATACACTGTATATGACTCTATGTATGTACCTTTTCTATAATAATGTATGGTTGACTATATAGTAAGAAAATATGGAATTATTGAAACTGGTCAAATAAAATTTGATGGGTATCAAACCTTAGCATCCAATGTGACTTGTACAGACCAAGACGACCCGGCACATCTATACCGTCTGCTCTTAGTCTGCATTTGTCACTATTCAGTCAGTACTTTGAAATTTACCTAAAATTGGTAAATGGTTTAGTCCAGGTTGGAAGATGGACAATTCTATTTAAGATTTTTGGTGTGGTAGGGTCGAAAGGTCATAGTTTGCAGTGCATATGGCTATAGGAAAGCAGTGTGCCTGTAAATTGTTATTGTTTTGAAAGATGATTTGCTTTTATATAGACTGAAGGTAATCAGGAATTAAACGTAGCAGTCATTTGTGGCAACACATGTTGCATGAAATCATACTTTCTTGTTTTCCATCGGTTGCTAGATATTTACTTTATAGGTTTATAGACTCTTTATAGATTTTCATCTCTGAGCAACTGTATGAGCTAGATTTTCTGCCTGTATGCATTACGTCTGCTGCGCAGGGAAAAAACTGAGTGTGATCTTATGATACGTGAGCATTGACTACAAATAACCGAGGATTACTCTTACTGGCAGTGAATTATTCCTATAATTTCGAGGAGAAAACAATAGCTCACACTGGCTAATGAGATTAGAGATTAAATCAACATTCGGACATTTTCTTTTATGTGAATGTTATTGGATTAGAGATTATTCAGGATTTAGCAGTGGGGGAGAGAGAAATTAATGTCATTGACCATGGATTTGTTACCTCAGACACACTAACTTTCACTGGTTCCTGTATTTTTGTAGTGAATCAATTCTGGCCATCAGTGTTGTAGTCTAAATATGTTCTTAACTGGTCTTTTCTGTTTTTACTTTTAATCAATCAATTTGGTAGTGTTCTGGTTTGGTTTAGAAGCTATTGGGTAGTAAAGTGTGATTTGAAAATGCCGCTCTCTTTTCCCAGGCAATAAAAACACTGGAAAAACAGGAGTTTGTAATTTAATTTGATTTGATTTTGTTGTACAGATTTCTGCTTCTATTCAGTGGAGGTTATCTGTGTGTCAGTGAAAAGTGAATTGCCTGTATAGGAATTAAGATAAGATTTGGATGTAATACTCAAGTTATTAAATGTTAATATCAGAGATTAAGATAAAATATTGGATTTAATCTTAGAGAAGGTAGAGATAATGTTTAAGGAGGCTTTGTGATGATTGATCTGATTATTTGCTATCGGAATTCAGGACTTCTTTAAAATAATGTGAAACTTTCTCCATTTGGGCTGTAAAATCTCTGATTTTTGTGGGCATTTAAATTAACGGTTTTGGCACGGATTTTAGTCATTTTTTAGGGATTTTTGCACACAAAAAATATGTGTGTAAGAATAAAAATGTGAGCAGGTTTTTCTTATATAGTGTACAAAATGTTGGTGTTTCTACCTAACTACCCTGCCATGTCTGAATCATCTGGGGTTTTCTTCAGTATAGAAATATTGTTGAAAAGTTCTCTGAACTTAGATTTGCAGCACAAGTTTCAAAAGTCACTCACTGTCACTTGTCCCTTATTGCTTATGAATTGGCTGAGAGCTTGTTAACAGAAGTTCAGTGGTTCCTCTGTGCATAAAATAGATAGTCCTTTGATAGGCTATTGAGGTCTCCCTCCACCAGGAAATGATGATTTGTACAGTGTTGTTATGACCCCCTTTTACTATTAAAAAAAATAATTATAAAATCATTAATTAAATATAATTGTTTATGTATTTAAGGTGATATCAGAAATTTATAAATGTATTCAGAGACTTGTATTTTAATAACAATGTAATGTTGATTAAATATGATGATATAAAATAATTAGTAAAACTCTTGCCAAGTTATGTAATATATTCAGTAATTAAATGCTCGCCATTAATTTGATAGGGAGGGGTATTGTAGAAAATTAATGTTATAGTTAATGTTGCTCCATGTTCATTCTTGTAAAACAAGACTTAATGAAATTGCATGTACTTTAAGGAGTATAAAAACACTACAGATGTTATCCCCATGGGAAGAAAGTGTTGCCAAAATTTTTGGACCTTGAGGGAATGTGTCATGTACGGAAAATGTACGGAAAAAGGATTACAGCAAGATTTGTTGTTGTGGTGATGAATTGATATGAATGTAAAAACTTGTAGTTATAATGATAGTGATGAAATAGATTGTGTCG